ACTTGAGTTTATGTAAAAGAAAATTACTTAATATGAAAATATCTTTCTCCTTATCATGAATCAGTAATAAGTATATGATTTTTGTTGTGGAAGTATGCAAATTGTGTTGTGCCAAATAGGAGCAATATTATTCTTTACCCTTACTAGAGATGCTATAAAGAACACTGATTAATTTAAAGTTTGAATAGTTTTGAAGACCGGCTAGGCAGGGAAAATACTAGCTCTCACTCTAGAGTTCCCCCAGTTCCCTCCACCTGGGGGCTAACATCTTGTATCAAAACCTAAAACAATAAACCAAGTTGGGGGCTTTAACATGTCACTTTAAAGTCCTCTAACTCTACACCCTTCAAAGATTATTTCCCTATTTATTTGCACGTAATCATATGAATTACATTCTCATTCATACAACCTCATGTGATTCTTTCCAATTGTTGACTGAGACAATAGCAGCTCAGTTTCTACATATTCTCACAATAAATTTTAACATCTAGATAGGCCAGATTAAGAAGTAAATGAAGTGCATGGAATTAAATCATCACAACTTCTTCCAATATTAAAGACTGATACTCTCCACAACTTCCATCCAATACTTTAATTACTTATAATTTTAATGAGAAATATAAAGAAAACTACTCAGAATCCATGGAGAAAATAAAACCACACTTTAGTTTAAAAGTAGAATTCATTGTCAAACCAACAAAAAGTCTCAATTAAAACCAAAAGTAGTTCAAGAACAAAGATAAAAACTTATCTCAAATCCTCCACCAGACTCTTGAAGTTTCTTTGAATCCCTTCTCTTTTACAACACTCTTAACTCTCACAATAAAATTAAAAACAAAAAGGATAAAGTAAATTTGAGGTGTCTGAAAATCTCTCCAAAAGTTCCTTCATGAAGTTCTTCAAGAACTTCTCAAGAATCCCCATTTTCAAGCACACTTCTAAAAATCTCAACTTCCTTCTTTTATAAATTTCCAAGAGGCACCTTGGTAACTCTTCAAAATGTGTCTCAATTCGATGTATTCTCCAAAGGATGCCTTCTTTCACAAGTCTTTTAATCATATTTTCGTTGCTAGTGGTCATAACCACCCTCTTTAGCCAATAGGTGTCTCAATGTCCCTTCAGAATTTGGTAAAATGAATTAAATTGTCAAATAACTATGTCCCTTCAAAATTTGGTAAAATGAATTAAATTGTCAAATAACCGCCTCTGTTGCTTAAGCGCGAGGCCTCTGGCACTTAGGCGTGGTCTTCTCTATTTCACTGGCGCTTACGCGCCAGATCCGGCGCTTAGACGCCAAAACACTTTCGCACAATTTTCACATTTGATCCTTTTTCACTGCTATTAGCATTTTTCACCTTTTTACTTGTATCTGAAAGAAAAATACACAAGTACATTCTAATACAAAGTACATTCTATTAAAGCACAATATCTCAAAAATAGGTATAAAAATATGTCTAAAAATACTATATATTTTAGGTGTATCATGACCAAATGTTGGTCTTAATGAAATATCTAGTGTTGCTTGTGAGTATATCTCAGGAAGCATTGCGAGTTATTACATCAATATCAACATGTGTATGACTGTGCTAAAGATTCAAGAGCACTAAAGTATGTCATCTTGCATCCCATGAACTTGCATTTAAAATTCATATTTTAACATAAATAGATATTTTTCATATTAGCATCATCCACTAAACTTTTAAACCATGCTACTAGTGAGCTAGACCATATATGAGGTAAACTCATTTAAAATGTCATCTCATTAGTGATGCACATTAGATCTCTTGATACTTCAGAATGGGGATGGGGTTGGTATCAGCAACCCCAATAAATTCATACACCAAACTTAGCTACACACTTTCTGCACACACTTAGATGTTGTTCTAGAACACATTTGCTTTATATGATTGCTGGACTACAGCAAGGGTATAGTTAGGATTGTTATATGCTTGGCTATTGTCATGGATTGGAGCTAGCCAAGCATTTTCTTTGTGCCTTTTGTGTGTTTTACTGAAGTTGGACATGCAATTTAGTATATTTAGGGGTGATTTTCTTGTAGGGTGATATGTCCAATTGGGAGGAGTCGTAATGATTCATGCTAACACATTTCATGCAAGTGTCATTAAGCTACTCTCCTGCAAAACATAGCTTATTTCTCGTTGCATGATATAACGCATGTTAAATCTTTGGATGTGGGTTATGTCCTTATTTTAGAATTTTACATGTAATTTTTAAGTTCTCTAGGGAGCCTCTATATTGGAATTAAGGTACAAGCACAGGTTCTAAGCCATTTGACGTATGAAACAGCGTGGCATGGATTAGGAGCAGAAACCTATGTCTCGTACCTTTAGTTTGAATCTACATTTTTTTATAGATCTAGAATCAGGTATGTATAAATAGTGCCTAACCACCTTTTTTACCTTTCTGAGATATGTTGTTGACCTAGCAGCACCCAACACGTTCTATTCTTTCACTTGGCTTGTTTACTTTTCCTGTTGTGTGTTGACTTTGCTCTTTCTTTGATTGTTAGTTTACTTAGAATGCTCATCACAAATTCAACTTAGGCTTTTTGATCACCCTAAAATTATAATTTTTCAACTTGAACCCTAATAATTAAAAGATTAAGATTAATGAAACTTTAGGATTAAATTTGAAACCATTTTCAAAATTAGCATTACTTTTCTGCATGGCCTTCAGGCTGGTTTTAAAACATGCTTCATGCATGGATATAACCCAATCATAAAATTAATAGGGCTTTCACACTTACGAACCACTCATATAATTAATTGCATGCATATCCTACACGCGTGACATAAAAAGATTGATGCCAACATAACCTTCTGTTTGAAATGCTAGAGATTTTCTCTCTGCCCTCACAGTTCTGTATAGGCTTTAAAGCACTGAGATGTTCCTATTTGAGATAACCATTTATTTTTGATAGACTCTTCAACTAAATATCAGAAAGCATAATTAAGACCCTTTTTTATTGAGAGTTTTCTTGGGTATCCCCAACATGTAATTAACTAAAGAGATATGTTCCTTTGGAAGTTACTCTTGAACCCAAAACATAATATTCTTTTTGGCTTTTCTGGTTATGGGCTGCTTATGTAAGGTTTCGTTTCTTTTTGTGGATAATGTGTTTCAAGGTATTTTGTTCTGGTTTTGTTCTGACATATATTATTGACCTATCACATGAAGTATACCCTACATAAGTTCTTGATATTTCCTATTTAAAATTTGTTTGTCTAAAATCCATCATATGTTCTCCCTTTTTTCGGTCTGTCCTTTTCTCTGAATCATTTCTACGATCCAAGAAAGGGGTTCATCTAGAAAGAGAATTATACAAGGATGAATAGACAAGATATAAAGAAGAGCTCAATTTATCAATATATAAAGAGAACTATATGACTCCAAATTGTTTCTACGATCTCAAATCATTTGGCATCATCGAAGTATCAAATTCATCTCAAACATGAATCATCAAATAAGAGTTTAAATCATATGTTTAATCTCCCATGAATTGATAAGATATAAAGAAGAGCTCAATTTATCTATTTAGCTTAATAATAATTGAATTCATCCAATAAAGGGTTCAACCCATCTACTAAACTCACCAAGGATTGAAGTCATCTAAGAAAGATTTTAACTCTTTCATTGAGCACATCAATTAGAGTTTCTCAAAAATTGAGAATTACTTGCAAACTCAAAATAAAAATTGCTAGAGATGTTGTACTTCAATAAGAAAGCAATTATGAGATTTTTATATATTTTAATAGTTAGATCCTGACTAAGTTTATTCATTTTATAGCATATATACTAGGTATTACTAATTAAACTTTTATTTGCAACGCTTAAATATAGTTTTAGATACATGTGTATGACTTGAGTCCGACAATAAAATGTGGGGTAGAGGATGAGTAAGATGTATTAAAATGGTTGACACTACAGGTCTATTTGGGGTAATTGTAGCTTTTAAAAATGTGGTTGTGAAGCTTTGGTAGAAAAATAACTTCTTAGAAAATAGTTGAAGGAATTATAAATGTATATTTTTTTCTAAACATCAGATAATTGTCGTCTTATAGTTAAAACACTTTATCAGACCAAATTAAAAAAGTAGCTTCCCACCATAGAAATTTCTAGAAAGCAACTCCCCAAACTAAGGCGTGGTGGTGGTCTGAAAAGCGAAGCAGACAAAAAACTATCCCAAACAAACCTAAGTCCAATATTTTCTTATAATTTAGTAAAATCCTCAAGTTTTTCATTCTAGAATTTATTTTTCACTCTCTTTAAGCTCTTATTTGTTAGCCATTCACATTAATATGATGCTAACACTACCCATGAATCATTTTAGATTCAACATGAACGACATCATGGGCATTTATGTCTAGGGTGGGCAATTCCCGCCGCTGTAATTTGCAAGTTTTCTATATAAAAAATAAAATTTATTATTATTTTATCTAGCCCAAACAAACAAGTCAAATAATTATGAAAAAAAATTAAACATTTAGAGATTTTACCAACTCTAAAAAGATAATATTAGTTATGCCTCTGTGACATACATGATCATAAAGTAAGAATTACTCGTTGAACCACTCTAAGTGAGCAAATCATATGTTAACAATACTTAATGCAAAAAGGCTCCACACTTTAAAAAACAGCCATTCAAATCAATTCTTCATAAATCAAGCTCAAAATTTTGTCCTTTTGAATCACCAAGTTTGGTCTTTTCTAAATCCCCAAGTCAATGAATTTACTTTGATACCAATGCAATATAAAATTTTAATAGAATCGCTTATGATTCACACCCACCCAAAAATTAATCTGAAGCTCTGAATGTCAACTGGATCAAATTCTAGTCAAAATTATATACCCTGAAGGTTAAAACAGTCATCAGCTTCCATTGCTGCTTGACCAATTCAACAAACACTCTATTGGCAGCTCAGCTAAGCTAATAAATAGCTCCTTTGAATAATAACCGTGCAATCCCTTCCTATCTTCCACCCACTCTAAGTAAGAGGGCAGAAATGGCAGCCATAGCGCCTTCAGCTCCAGACAGACAGATGGGAGAGAAGATGGAAGGCGATTCAAATAATATGGTAGGCAGTGGTACTACTGAAACTGGTCAAAAGCAGCTGGACGCCGGAGCTCTCTTCGTTCTCAAGTCAAAAGGTTACATAAACTACACCTCTGTTTTTAATTTAATGGATTTACTTTGATACCAACGAAATTAGAGTTTTTATTTTCATTTAGAGTTATGATTTCATTCTCTCTACAAGCGCTGAAGGATCTATAGATATTTGTGTAGGTAAGACGTATGCAAAATTGCATACATATTAGGTTATTAGGAGGGTACAGATAGTTTACACTTAGGTTATACCCCTTATAATACTTTCTATAACTTAAGTGTACCCTACCTGTACCCTCTGAATAACCTAATATGTACGCAACTCTGCGTACGTCTTAAGTACACATATATTTCTCAGTAATTAAGGAATAATGTTATTTTTGTTATAAATAGTTGTATTGTATTTTGATATTAAAATCAAATAAATTAGTGGGATATAAAATTCCATATATAAATTTGCATATTTAATATCTAAATTTTTATAAAATATTTAGCATACAAAAACATAATTAAAACAAGAACATTTAAAGTTAAGAAAACAAATGTCAGTGAAATTTGGTATAAGATTTTGAGATTTTAAATATCTAAATATGTAAGAATTATATAAATCCCATTATTTTTAAGGCTGTTGTAAAGATGGAGTTGCTCCATGTGTTAGCCATTTTCATAAAGTTCTACAGATGCTCAGATTCTCCTACATTTTAATTTTTAATTATATGAGTATAAATTGTATTCATAAGAAACCAACATGTAGAAGCTGAACTATTAAATTTCATAAATATGGAAACTTAGAGTACATACAACAGCTAAAAACACGAGATATTATTGCATATGAAGAGCGTAAGCAGAGCTGCGTACGCTCTCTGATCACAGCCATCCATCATGATTTTTTTAAAAAAAAGAAAATTAATAAAAGTGGGACCCACTGTTATACAACTTTTGTATGAGTTGATGGATGGTTGTGATTGGCTCAGCTGCGTACGCTCTAGGTATGTAATAATTTTTCTAAGGACACAGTATAGGTTAAGGAAAAGAACTGAGAGAAAAAACATGGGAGGCAGAAAACTTTGCTGGAAAGAATGGTAAAAAATTAATAGTGCAGCTATCACCATTATATCATACTTCTTAAAACTTTATGGTGCTGGTAAATTTTGTATTTAATTTTAGAAAATAGGATTAAAAAGCAATATTTTTATGACCTGTTTAAATAAAAATTAAAAGCCTGAATTAATTTCATTAATGCATCAAATGTTTAATCACAATTAAAATTTTTCTTCTACTAAAAAATATTAAATAATAAAAAAGATGGAATTTAATAAAATTTTAAGAATAAGAATATTTATTTATATTTTAAATTTTGTACAAACATTTTCTTTTTATTAAAATTATCAATTGTCGATTCGACATCGAAATACATTATAGTTCTCTTTTCAATGTATGTTATCAATGAATTTGTCATCAATTTTATTTTTCATTTTATTATGAAATTATATAAAAGACTTTGAATTGGCTCTTATTGATTCTTTGAATTATAAGTCTCTCTTTTAATTTTTTTTAAACGTAAATTTTCAGTGCATGATACTACAGACGGACTATAGATGCATCCGGTGTCCAATAGTGGGTCGTCACGTGTCAAGTGAGCCCCACCACTTTTAACACTGGCCAATGCCGGTGCCTTGAGGTGGAGCCCACTTGATACGTGGCGCCCCACCAATAGACTCTAAATGCAAATTACATCCGGAGTCATTGAAATCTTCTTATAGATTATTTTAATTAATTATAAAAATGATTACTAAATAAGAGAATAAACGTTCGAGCTCAAGCGGGACAGAAGGTAGATCTGTAAATACATAAAAATTGTGTGGTATATGTATGTAAAATAAACCTTGGAAACTTAAAAAGGATAAAAATTGTGTGGATATATATATCTATATATATATATATATAACATTGGAAACAGTCTAAAATGGAGCCTTAAAAAAGTATTGTGTGCTATCTATTTCATATAAAAAGAATTTAGATGTGGATTAAGTACAGATGAATATATAAGCTAATAGTAAGGTCTAATATGTTTATTCTAATGCAAGAGGTTAACTGGCCTGATTAGTCAAACAAAGATAATTAACTCCAAGGATTAAGACTATTCAAGCTGCCGAATAGAAATATATAGAAGTTGTTGGTCTAAACGCATTTTAAAAACAACAGTAAAAAAACGTAAATCCTAGTTGACAAATCTTTAGAAATTGGCAAACATTAGCTCTGACTATTCTGAGTTGATTTAGAAGAAGAACATTGCACCGTAGTGCAGAAGCTCTGGAATTTTAGGCACATGGCGCAGACTCTTATCATGAGGTCAAAAAACACATGAGAAATCGATATTTGAGCCTCTGCCAAATATCGATTTCTTTTGTACTATATATATATATATATATAAACTTTTATATTTTTAGTATTCATCAATGTATGAAAAATTAATAATTAATGACTTCAAATCATGAAAAATTTGTGTCATTATGAAAGAGGTTTTTAAATTGCTTTCACCAAGATAAATATATAGATTGTTAAGGATATATGTTTTTCAAAAATTCCATGATTTCATTAACAAAATCAATGGGTAAATTTAGAGTCTTAAAAGAAATCCCATTTGCAATGACATCATTCTGGAGTTCCCCATATAAATAGTCAATAATTAAATCATTCTAAAAGTTATTGAACTAGTTTTTCCTATATTTTTTGTAGGCATTAGTATTTTTGAAGATAAAAAAAAGAAAAATCCTATATCTATGACAAGTGGATCCCATCATTTTTAACATGTCTTGCGGTGGGACTCACTTGACATGTGGCGCTCCACCATTGAGCTTGGGATGCAAATTACATCCGGAGTTAAATAGGATGACTTTAGAGCAGTAAGAAGTTATACTGACTTACTCATGCAGGATCATGGCTTCATTGTGGATATCATCTGACGACTTCAATAGTGGCGCCGGCGTTGCTGAGCTTGCCATTTGCGCTGGCAAAGATGGGATGGGCTGGCGGCGTGGCCTTCCTCCTGCTGGCGGCTGTCGTCACATTCTACTCCTACGTTCTCCTCTCCGTCACCCTGGAGCACCATGCCCAGCAAGGCAATCGCCTGCTTCGCTTTAGAGACATGGCTCATTACATTCTCGGTTAGCCTTCTTTTTTTTTTTTCCTTCAATTAATTTCTACTCAATATTGGGGATTGAAATACATATGATACATTGTATATATTGTCATAAATGATGGAGTCCTACCATTTTAGGCATGAAATGCGATTCAAAACTTATATTTAAGCCCTTAATTTTTATACTAAGCTTGAGTTAATATACTTCACTCTATTCTAGTATTTATGAAATATAAAAATAAATGACTTTCAAAAGTAAATTAAGTGTGAATGATTTGGATGTCAAACTCACCAAGGCTATTTTCTGAAGTGTTAAGAATAAAACAATCATAGATAAATTCATATATAAGAAAGTTGACACTTTTCATGAATGAGTCTTCATTTTGTACTCCCTCAATCCTACTCATTCTTGAATGACGTAGTGTCCCCACAAAGTTTTCTCCTGCATGCCAATGACTTGGTTGCTCATTGTGTGGTCTACCTTCGATTGCACCAAGTTGTCACATATGAAGCTTTTTCTCTTAGGTGCAAGCAGCAGTATGTTGGCATCCTCCTTTCTGTTTTCTTCTCACTTTAAGGTGATTTAAATCTGCAACTCTTTTAACATGTTAAGTGTAGTATGCATACCTTCATTATTAGCGCTTCACCACTCATTGAGTTGGGTTTTTTCAATGTTGAATGTGACAACTACCCACGGGCTTTGCAAATTATACTTCATTTTCTGAAGTGTTAAGAATAAAACAATCATAGATAAATTCATATATAAGAAAGTTGACACTTTTCATGAATGAGTCTTCATTTTGTACTCCCTCAATCCTACTCATTCTTGAATGACGTAGTGTCCCCACAAAGTTTTCTCCTGCATGCCAATGACTTGGTTGCTCATTGTGTGGTCTACCTTCGATTGCACCAAGTTGTCACATATGAAGCTTTTTCTCTTAGGTGCAAGCAGCAGTATGTTGGCATCCTCCTTTCTGTTTTCTTCTCACTTTAAGGTGATTTAAATCTGCAACTCTTTTAACATGTTAAGTGTAGTATGCATACCTTCATTATTAGCGCTTCACCACTCATTGAGTTGGGTTTTTTCAATGTTGAATGTGACAACTACCCACGGGCTTTGCAGGTTATACTTCCTGGACAATATTTCCTCTGAGATGTGTGAAAGGAAAACAAAAGTAATTTTCTAGTTCTCGACTCCCATTAGCTCCTTCTCACCTTCATTATCTCCAATAATTTGGAGATGAGTCAACACCTATCAGTTCTAGAGTAAATTTAAGCTTGGTACACAATATTAATTGTGTGACCTTAGTTCTCCCCTCAAGCCCCTAATTCTTCTTGTGGTTTTCATCGAGTTGCTCTTGAATTGAGATGAGTGACTGGAATAAGTTGGTCCGACAAGTTCAATGTCGGTTTGGCAAATTTTAATTTCTTGTGCTTATAAAGCAAGTTCTGATTCTAGTTGGCAAGTATATGTGTATTGAACTATCATAGCGAGTCCCTCTACATTCTAGTCAGCAAGTCCACCTTGATCTTAGCTAGTTAGTATGCTCTAAACCTGATTATGCAAGCACTATCTTGATTAGCTAAGCAAATCAACTTTTAGTGTATCATAAGTGTATGCTTGATTAAGTACTATAGTAATTTAGTTATATACACAAATGCTTCTTATGAAATATTGAGAATGAATCAATAAACATATTTTTCTTTTATTTTCCTTCTACATATTATCTTGAAATAATGTGTTTCTCTTATGCACATGTTTCCTTTTTGCCATCCTTACACTATAAAAGAATCTAATGGAGTCGACTTATTAGAATTTTTATCTTCACAACAATTTTTTTTATTATCTACAATATTTGGATGTAACACAATGATAAGCTTCATGGGCGACACACAACTCTTCTTTTTATGTTCTCCTCCTGGAATAATCAAGCCAACATCAGCGTTTTGTTATTTTTTGTGGTTGGATGTATCCATATCTTTGAGATACTTTGTTTCTTATTTCTTCTTTTGGGGAGAAATTGATGTTGGCCATTGAAACTGCTTACTTCTACTAGTTTGAAGTTTTCTTCTTAGCTTTAAATAGAAAAATATCTTTTTGGTCCCCACAAGAAACCACCAAGATCGAACCATAGCAGGGAACACACAACCCAACTCTACTCTCTCCTTCCACGCACATCAAGTTGATGCCATTAGCACTAAAACATGAGGGAGAACCTCGCTCTAGGATTTTAAAAGGACTTGCTAGGGAAACGAAAGGAAAAGAAAAAATGGGTAAGAAAGGTGATTGAGAAAAGGTGAGAAAATATACTGTAATGATGTAATTCATTTGATGGTTTAATACGAGGCTCGAGTTGGTCCCATATTTTTCTACATGGTATCAGAGAACCCCGCATAATAGCGATCGATCCATGTAATTCCAAATTTTATCCATGATAAAAAAGCCAGTCCTCATCGATATCTCTCAAGAGAATAAAGGAAATCAGCATACCTGTATCACTCAAATTTCTGATGTCAAACATCAAGACATTATCAACCTTACCTCTGCAATATGACAATTAGCAGGCATAGAAAACTCAAATGCGAAAACTATTCGGTGCAAATGGATTTGAATTTTTTTTTTTGGCATACAATTCCTCCATTGCTTCTTAATTCATCATAAATGAGTTAGGAAATCAGAAGTAAATCCATATTTTAAAGTTTGGCATCTGGTCAATCAAAACCTCATAGCCTCTATACGACCAACCATTGCAATTCAATTCTACTATACATTCTCAGCCTCAACATCATCAAAGAGATCTGGACAACCCTCAAGATGCACGTTCAATCAATAAAAAGATCCATGGTGATCTAGCTAAAAAATGACCTCCACGACATTACAATAGGGAGCAATATCATGTTCCAATATCAGACAAACATTAAAATAATAAATAATAATATTATAGCTATAGAAGCTCTGATCGACATCAAGGACATCATCTTCTACACATTGAATTGGATATCAAATCAATACCAAGGATTCAAAATCATGATATGCACGTAGCTGAACCAAATCAAACTTGAAGAACTTTATTCCATGCTTCATAATGAGAAATCCAATTTAGCAACTGAAAACCTAAAACAATAACCCATCACAGCTTTGTACACAAACAAACCTGAAAACTCGCAGCCACACAACAATACACAAAATCAACACAAACCTAACTATATGAACCAACACCAATCCTCTCAATCCTTCTGATACCAAACCAACTCACACAAAATAAAAAACCAAATAACCTATCAAATCTGGCTCAAGCAAGATCACTCAGCATCACATTGTAGGCGCATGACCAACCTAAAATACAAACCAAACCCACTCCCACATCACATGACACTCACAACAAACAAAATTACATACAACCAATCTTGGATCCTCGACACAGGTGCCACAACACACCTCGTAGTTGATTACACTTTTAAAACTGGAAGCCCTTGTTGTTGATTAGAACTTTAGAATCGTAAGCCCTCGTAGTTAATTATATCTTGAGAACTACAATCACTAAAGAAAACATCTCAAATAATATGATAAGTTATCAGCTTTTCATAATTATAGTGGGGGTCTAAATTGAAAGACTTATGTTCAAAAGGATGGAAATTATAATTTGATGACGACATGTCATGGGAAGGGCTCAAGACATAAGAATAATTCAAAAAGATTTGATAAATTTGGACTGATTGAGTGAAGTCTAAAGATGGATGAAGGATATAGATTTGGTTGACAGAAGTTATTGGAAACCCTAAGAGAAGGATAGAGTTACGTACGAAACAATTTCTAGATAGAAAATGAAACCTTAAACTAAATAGGAAATTCTATGGGCAGACTAACCTAGATTTTGGAAAATTTTGGGAATAACTTCCTTGTTCAAGATGCTCATGATTTTCCGTCGTCCTGAAAATATTGGTGTCTATCAAATATGACCAGCCTGATAACTAGGAATCACCCTTGAATGTTGAAGCATGGGGGATTAATAGTTTCAAAGCAGTTTGAAATACCTTCATTAGTAACCATGGGTTACTTCATTCTAATCTATTCCCTCTATTCTCAGGGGGGTAGGTTTGTTTCTTTGCATGTCCTAGTCCTTAGCACTAACTCGCTACCTAAACAGACTTAAGCTTTCATACTCAGACTAACCTGGGTTAAGTGAATGGCCCTCGGTTTGGTGGCTAAGTTAACTAAACTAAAGTTCATGTCAGATCTACCTATGTTTAGTTCCCATTATTTATCTTTGTGTTTTTTCATATTTATTTGAAGTTCAATGTTTTAATTCATGTCTTATTTTGCTCCTAGGCTTGTCAGTCATGACGAGAAATCAAGGTTTTATATGTTTTATTTTTTTTTTATCTGAATTTTGATTTTTGATGTTTGCATTTTTAAAGGGCATTGTCTATTTTATCTCAAAAATTTTAATTTTTTTTTTTTTTTTTTTTTTTTTTGAAAATGAAATGAGACAAGATTGGTTTGTGGTCAGGCCTGGGGTGGTTTATACCTGCTTTACCTTTAGAGTTTCAGTCAAGTCTAGGTTGGGTTAGACCTAGGTTAGATTTATTCGGTCAAGTCTTGATTGAGTCAAACCTTGGTCTAGTTTAAGGTTTGTGGTCAGGTCTAGATTTGGTCAGACATGGGTTAAGTTTAGGGTTTAGGTTGGGTTTGAGTTGGGTTAGACCCTGGTTAGGTTTGGGATTTATGTCAGGTCTGGGTTGAGTTCAATCTCGGTTAGGTTTAGGATTTAGGTCTGATCTGGGTTGGGTCAAACCTGGCTAAGGTTTAGGATTTGGTTCAGGCTTGAGTTGGGTTAGGTTTAGGGTTTTGGCTAGGTCTGGGATTGATTGGACTTGGGTTAGGTTTAGAATTTGGGTCAGGTCTTGGTTGGACCAGAACTAGGTTAGGTTTAGGGTTTAGGTCACATCTAGGTTGAGTGTGACCTGGGTAAGATTTAGGATTTGGGTCATGTCTGGGTTGGGTCAGACCTAGGTTAGGCTTAGGATTTAAGTCCAGGTTTGAGCTTACATGAGTTGGGTTAGGTCTAGTGTTTGGGCTACATTTTGTTTAAGTGAATTTGGGTTCGACTCAAGTCAAACCGAGCCCAGCCTAACCCAAACTCACTTAGCTAAACCTAACTCAAGCCTAATCCAAAACTATTGAGTTGATTGAACTAGCCTAAAGCTAACTTGCTACTCAATGTACCTAAAGGAAGACTAGGTAGGAGACATACTGAAAGAAGATGGCTTAACCGGAAGAGGAGGCTTGCCAAAAAATTGGTTCCATTCTTCTTCTTTTTCTACTAGGAGTAAGTACTAGAGAGTTTGACTCGATCGTGTGTGTGTCTGAGAAGTGTCGGAGTTGACCTATTTATATGCTCAGAAGGCGATTGCGCGGCGCTTTAGAGCCGTCCAATCGGGTGGTGCATCGACTGCTGAAATTAGTCTGACAGTTAGTGAGCCACGGATTGCCGCTACTGAAACCGTGTGACGATTTGTGGCCTAATCCGTGGACAAAGGACAAAGATTGCTAGTGTGTCAAGATTATTTTCTTGGTCTTCCTTTTAGCAAATTTTATTGTGTCAGACCACGAGGGGATGTCTCTGCAAGCTCTATGTGACCAAAAATGAGGTCAACATCCATCATATCATGTCCACCGACCAATTCGCCGACATACTCAAAAAATCACTCCCTGCCTCCAGACACATATTTGCCTCAACCAAATCAACTCTCTAATAGAATCTCTCAGCTCGAGAGGGGGCAAAACAAAGAAGTATCAAACCATTCCACACAGGAAACCAACAAAATCAAACCAGAGCTGGAAACACACAATCCAACTCCACTCTCTCCTTCCACCATTGTCATTGTAGGATAAGGTAGAACCCCATTCAGGAATTCTATAAGAAAGGCTTGCTAGGGCAGTAGAAAAAAAAAAAGAGAAAAAGAGTAAGAAAGAGGATTGAGAATACGTGAGAAAAGCATAGTGCAAAGATGTAACACATTTGAAGCTTTATTACGAGACTCAAAGAGGTCCATTTTTTTTCTATGAGCTTGTGGTAGTGTCTTGCAATCTTTTTGTATGATTTTTTTTTCCTTATTGATTCTCTATTGGGCGAGATGCCTTTGGAGGCACTTATTGTTATGTCTCTCTATTTAAGCATTCTTAGTAGCACATTCATCTTCTTTCCCGCGTTTAGTTGTTCCTTCAACGAGAGTGTGTGTGTTAAGGGGCATTTACATACATACCACATAATTCTTATGCATTACATATCTAACAACCAACATTCATTTTTATTTTTATAACACTCAAATCTTTCTTATTACATAAGAGATATCACAATAACTTTAAAAATGTGAAATACACATTTTCAACCATAGAAAACATAGTGTTATCGTAAAAATCAAAGTTTATGTATTAATTACATAAATAAGTTTGAATTGTGTGGCATATATATAAATCTTCATTTTTTAAAGGTAATGTTAGACAATTTTTTTATTTTATTTTATTGTAATGTACCTATAGCTGTTGTGCCTTAAATACAATGGATAAAGCCATTGCACTCATTGGATTGTGATTAATTCACATAAATTTTGAACACAACAAATAGTACAGAAATATTTGAAACATGAATTGCTTCAATGAATGAAGCATTACTCTTTCCGTTCGGAGTTTCATTTAAAATGATAGAGATTATTGCTTGAGCATTCGCACAGGTTCTTTTTGGGGCCGTTATTATGTTGCTCCGATCCAATTTGTGCTTTGCTTCGCTGCGGTGGTAGCCGGTGTTCTGCTTGCAGGCATAACCCTAAAGGTTGTTGTTTGAATTCCATCTCTCTCTCTCTCCCTTATATATATATATATATATGTATATAAAGATAGACGGCAACATATGACATTTACTTCGTTCATCTTTTTGGTATTGTAGGCTGTGTACTTATTAGAAAAGCCAGATGGAACGATGAAGCTGTATGAATTTATAGTGTTTGGAGGAATATTGATGTTGATACTTGCACAAGTCCCATCCTTCCATTCCCTCAGGCACCTCAACCTCATCTCCCTCCTTCTATGCCTTCTTTACAGTGCATGTGCTACAGCAAGCTCTATCTATATTGGCAAGTCCTTCAAACTTGTTTCAATTTAATTTTGTTTCTTTAGTCCAAATGCTTGATTATATTAGTAGTTAATATCGAAGCATAAAGTGGCATGCACGTAGTTATATTGACTTATCATAGGTTCAAATGACTGTTATTTGGAAAAACAATTTTCTAGAGAAATATACATTATGTTATAGCACACAATTCTTATGTATTTACATATCTACCCACTAAACTTTCATACTTACATTTATATATTTTAGTGACATAAAGTTAAACATCAAAAGGTGTATTTCTTAAAAAAATATGTAATAGTAATTTTTTAATGTGACATTAAAGATTTGACTGCTATGGATATAAATATAAAAATTTATGTGATACGTGTGTAAATAGATGAAATTCAGGGGTCTGATTGGATAAAAAATTTACAACATTTTTCATAAAAATTGGTTTTTGAAAAAGGATATGGCTGAAATAATATAATAAAATAAAAATTACAAAAGAGCTTTTGAGATTTAAGATTTTAAAAATTGAGAAAAGAAATAGAAGATCATTAGTTGGCTCTATAAAACCTACAGTCCAACCCAGCACTTTGTTCCATGGTGAGTATATAAAATTTATTACTGTAGAATTATAAGATGTGGGACTATTTTCGTAGTTGTTTTATAATTACGGGTTGATGGGTGCAGGACATTCTTCTGGTGCTCCACCAAGAGAATACAGCATACCTGGCTCAGGCAAAGGCAAGCTTTTTGGTGTATTTACTGCAATATCAGTAATTGCTACAACTTATGGGAGTGGGATTATACCAGAAATTCAGGTGAGCACTCATAGTCTCTCACTCCCTTTAGGTGTGTGTGCAAATGGTCAGGTCTCAACATTCTTTTCATCATAATGAAACTGCTATCAATTATTAATATGTATATAGTATATAGTATATATAACTAGAATCTAATTACAATAAGTTTAAATAGAATATTAAATTTACTGAAATTTATAATTTTGCCATCCGCTAGAATGCTAGCATGATTGATGCCACCTTCTTATGTCTGTTATGCGAAAACAATGCGAAAATGAATAAATTCACACAAAAGCAATCAAGCACAAAGGGTTTACGTGGTTCGACATTAAGTTGATTCTTCTATGTCCACGAGGAGGGACATCACTAGCATTGGATAGAAGAAAGCAAAAAGGCTTGGGGTTTCAATTCACACTTTTCACCATAACCTCTTATAAGCCCTACGTCTCTTTAGAGATGAGGAAGAGATGAGGACCGGGACATATAATTAAATAAAGCCAAAAGATAAAATCCATAAATACAACAATGTCGAGCCAACTGATCGCATGGTTAAGGTGTGCAACATGCAGACAACACTTCTTCATAAGAGCATGTGATCAATCAAATAATAAAATGAAATTAGAGTATCACCTACATAAATTGCACAACATTTATTGAAACTAAATCATTTAGTTACTTCAAAGACGAATGCAATAGAGCTATGTACAAAAGCAATCTAATTTTATGACTAACCAAAGTAACCATTATGTACTAAATAACAGCTACATTTTGACTCAAGGAGAATCAATATGATTAAAACATAGGGATCGAATTTTGCTAACGATGATTGAGTTCGGTGGTTTTGATACAATCAAAGCGGTGTATTTCAAATACTAGTACGATCTGAGGTTTGTTACGTACTTTTGATTTTTTAAGCCCAGGGTTTTCGCTACTCGGTGATTAAAAAAAACATAGAATTATCACAACTTTCTCTTATCTACGATCCATGCACTATAGTATTTTATTCATTTATACACGAAAGACTGCGTCGAATCTTAAAAGGTGCGATTAGCTCGTATTTTGAAGAATAAAAAAATTAAATAATAGTTTTCAAATTCTTAAAACATATTTATAATAAAAAAATTAAGTAAAAAATTAAGAAGATTTCAGAAGTATCATAGATTTAAAATAATCACCATTATAATTAATTGTACTACTTAAATATACATATGTTACGTTTTTTTTATCGATGAGACTATTTTAAATGTTTTTTTGAGGCATACTAAACTCTTTAGAAACGTTCTTCAAAATCATGAAATATCATTGCAACCTCCTATCAAAATATGTAGTATTCCACTTTGATGGGGAGTGCCATGAGATGTTCAAAATTCTAAGTTATTTATACACCAATCATTATATCTTCAAAATGGAACCTAACGTTTGAATTAATGTGCGTTACTAGTGATAATATAGTTGGAGTTGTCGTGGGGAAAGTGATAGGAATGTTCTTTCACATAAATTTTTATGTCTGCCTCGTATTGAGAGATGTATGCTACTACAAAAAAGAAGCTATTTTTTTGTTGTTTTTTTTAATAAAAACGAAAATCATTATTGATTGGAACCAAGAGGATTATATATACAAATCATACTGCAATTAATACTTAATTAATAGAGAATAATGATGTCAAATCAATATTGATTCAATGGGTGTTGTTGCTATAAGGATTTGATGTAGAGATAAAAGATAAAATGACATTGAGAATGTAATGGCTAATCATTTATTACGATTTTAAAATGGAGAGTACGAGAGTAAAATTTTACCAACTTATTATGAAGACATTCCCTAATGAGCAACTAATGTTAATAAATCCTGGCATGGTTTCATGATTTGTAGAATATAGCAGCTGTTTAGCATCCATAGAATGAAGAGATTTCCTTCAAAGATGAAGTACTGTCATTGGAATGATCATTATCTCTGTAATTTTTATGATGATTAGAGACCACAATGCTTAAGCACATTAGGATGAATATGACTTAGTTTTAATATAAACCCTTATCTTATGAAAAAAAAATTATTGTACCTTTTTTAAGGGAATTATTTAGATGATCCAAGAGAATTTGACTATTTTATAAGTAGTTTTGAAGGAGCTCCCATCCAAGATTCTTCGAGTAGCCTAGTTTGTTGGCAATCATTGAAGATGAAGTCGAAAGTTGAGGTATTAAAAAGAGAGGATTGTTGTAGATATTATGCAGATGCTTAGTCATGAAATTTTATTGATCTTCCTCTTTTGTTTATTATTATAAAAATATTTAAGGTATTTAAACTTAGCTGGCATCCATTGCAGCAAAATTTAGAAGTTGAGGTGCAATAAATTAGAAGATTGCCATAGACTATACACATATGCGACTTGAGCACATGATGAGAAAATTTCCTGACCGGCTCTTATTACCGATTGGACGTCTATGACATCATTACTGGTTGTCTTTTATTTTCCGCCTATTGGTCATATATGATATCATTGTCAGTCGTTTTTTATGTTTTTTTACTGATATGATGTTTTTGATATCATTGTTGGTTTTGCTATCCATGTTCAAGTTTCCCGAGTGTTGAGTGGCTTCCAAAATGCTTGAACTCCTTGAGCCTGATAAGTCTTGACATGACCTCTCATGTAAAAGAAAAAAATATTATTATACACATGAATTATAAATAAGATTTAAGAAAAATAACATAATTATGCACCAGAAAACAGCTACCTATATGCGGTCTAGAGATATAATTAGATTTCTTCTTGAATAAGCAGATTACTTCACTAATTTATATTTATGTATTTGAAATAAGAACTGAGTAGAATGTATGTAAACATACATATATATAAAAATTCATTGGTATTTATGCAAATTTTTCCCCCCTTTTTTTTTTTATTTTTGAAGTGGTCGGGCTAGTTGGTGGCCAGTTGGAGCAAAGATGGCCAATCAAATAAAATAACAAAATTTAAAGGTTAAATTTATAAAGGAAAGGAGTAGTTGGCATGTGTCTAAATCATTCTTGATTTAAAATGGCATGTTGGAGGCAGATGGGTCGGAAGCTAGTGGTTGGTCGGAGGTGAGTAGAGCAGCGGTCAGTCGGACGGCAGGTTATCACCGAAGGGCCATTTGTTAGAACACAAATGAATGGTGCGTATGTAAATATATAAGTATATAAGAATTGAGTGTTATGTATGTAAATCTTCACTGTTTTGAGATGGCCGACAGAAGGAATTCAACAGGCATGAGCAAGTGACTGGTAGGAAGCAGTTGGTCGGTCAGATGTAGCCTGAGTAGTGTTCGGTCGGACTACAAGTTATGGGCCGGAGGGTGGTTTACTGGAAAAAAAAAATGAATTGAGTGGTACATGGGTAAATATATAACTATATAAGAATTGAGTGTTATGTTTCTAAATTTTTTTATTTTCCACTAGGCCATTTGGTCTGTGAGAAGGTGGTCGGCTAGGGGTGGCCGACTAGAGGAGATGCATATATACGAATTAAGTGATATGCATGTAAATATCTATTTTTAAGTGGACGGTCTAATTGGTGGCCGTCCAGAGCGTCAAGGTGGCCGCCCGACTGGTGGGTCGCCGACTGGAGGCAACCGGAGTAGGCAGTTGCCCGATGAGGATTTTTGGAGAGAGAGGGCTTGTCAACAAAAAGGAAAAGCGACCCATCGAAGAGGAAACCGGCCAGGAGGATCGAATGGAACGGGGATGAGGGGACGATTAATGATCCCAATGCCGCCGAAGACGTCGGAGTCCTTGTGAAAGGTGAGAGGGGGGAAGCAGAAGTAGCTGCCAATTTGGTCCTAGACTTGCAAAAAAGTATGTGAAGTTTCTCTCCGGTGGAATTGAACTGTTGTTGGTGCCATAAACTCCATTATGTCATGACTTCCTCCTCTGCCCATGACTCACCAGAGTAGCTAGAGGACGGGGAGACCGCCGGTGCAATTTGTTTGCACAAGAAGCGTAGGCGTTCTCTAGATCTAGAAGCAGGGGCGGCAGATTTGCGGGAAAAGAGGAGTTTATTTGAACATCTTCGGCAATGAGGAACTTCATTAAATGAAGTGAATCTCTTCTGCCCTAGTTTCTAATATGCTTTTTGTTAGTAATGTCTCTTTGAAAAATTCTCTATGATATTGTTAATCTTTTTATTTACGACATAATTCACGCTCACTACACTTTTTAGAATGTTGATTTCAAATCTGTTTGAACATGCCCAAGAGAGGAGAAATTTTGCGTACGTCATCTGCACGCGAGCTGCATATAAACGACCAACGCAATATACTGGCGAAGTGTTTTTTTTTTTTGCCGGTGTATTGCATCTGTCATCCAAAAGCAGCTCACGTACGGATAATACACGCAAAATTTTTTCAGGGGATAGAACCTAGGGATCAAGAGAGAGAGAGAGAGAGCAAAAGAGAGAGGAAGAAAAAGAGGTGGGGAACAAGACTTGCTCGGGGTTAAGAGGAGTGTTTGCGGGCCCCTTTTATTTTTTAAGAATAGCGGTTACAAGAAATGGGGAGAGTTCTCCCTATATGAGTTTTTTTAGAGAGAGGAGAGCCAGAGACCTCCTAATACATACGATAAGTCCTCTATTTATAACAAATAAAAAGAAAAATTACAATATTTACTTTCTTTATATGGAGGACAGTACATGATATTTTTGACTTCATATCTTAGATTGTCAGATTGTCTCGAGATCCATGAAGATCATTTTTCAGCGTAAAATATTATTAAATTAAAATTTACTTCCCCCTATATCTCCTAAATGTAGTGCATGCATGTCTGTGGTCCTCATCAGACACATGCTCCAGTAATTCCATGTCACTGAACAATAGCTTGGATGGATAGCTTGAACACGAATCAATATTTTCAAATGTGAAAAAGCCCCAAATTTGATAACCCTAATTATACCCTCCCAGCCACATATTTCCCATTTCTTATTATGTAATGCATAAAATCTAAAACTTACATTTATAACAACCCTGCATCAAACCAGCAAGCAAGGTGCACTCCATTAGCAAATAGCAATATTCTGATACAAGTACAAACATTTCACTCTCATGCTTCTAAATCTAAAAATTCATTCGCTAGATACATAAAACCCTAACAATGCTTGCGGCATGCACGTAACATTTATATCGCAGGCAACCCTGGCTCCACCCGTAAAAGGCAAAATGTTCAAGGGCCTGTGTCTCTGCTATGCCGTGGTGATCAGCACCTTCTTCAGCGTCGCAATATCAGGCTACTGGGCATTCGGAAATCAAGCACAAAGCAGCGTTCTTTCCAACTTCTTCGCCTCAGATGGCACCGTCCTCATTCCCAAGTCCTTCTTCATGACCATCAACATCTTCTCCCTAGTCCAAATCTTCGCAGTCTCAGTGGTATCAATTACAAAGTCAAAAAATCCAACTTTTTTATACTGAAACTTTATCATACTTTAACACATGTATTGATGCAGGTGTACCTTCAACCAACCAATGAAGTGCTGGAGCAGCTCCTCTCAGACCCAGAGAGGCACCAATACTCCCTACGCAACGTGATTCCGAGAATCATTTCTCGGTCAATAGTGGTCGCCGTCGGCACACTCGTCGCCGCCATGATTCCCTTCTTTGGTGATCTCATTGCGTTGATTGGAGCATTTGCAATCCTGCCGTTGGACTTTGTGATACCGGCGGTGATGTATAACGTGACCTTCCGACCGCCGGCGAGGAAGGTGATCTTTTGGGTGAACACCACGATCGCCGTTGTCTTCTCAGGGTTGACTGTGCTCGGCTGCATTGCATCTGTGAGGCAGATAGTGTTGGATGCCAAGAATTATGAGTTATTTGCCAATGTGTGAGGGAGCATGAAATTATTTTGTTTGCTATATTAAGAAATTGGTCTCCTAAGTTGGAGGGAAAGTGTGGAATTCGCACATAAGGACTGATGTTGTTTGATTGTATTTGATAGTATTGTGGTGATATTTTATCATAATATCATCACTATATAATAAAATATCATCAAATTCATACCTACCTGATCTGCACGTAATATTATTTTTCTAAGTTGAATGTCAAAAATAAACCACAGATGATTTACAAATATCAACTGTGATTTTTATTTTTCTGCTTATGTTTTCTTTAATTGAAATAAAAAAAGATAAATATTGATTACACTATGTTGAGCATTAACAAATAAGGCAAAGGTTTCTATTAAAAGGTAGATATCAAAGCACCATATGGAATCTATTATGAAAGAAAATGAAAATAATTAGCATAACAAATAGATATGAATAGTAATTTGACTGACATAACAAAATTATAAATGTTAATGTCAACACTTGCTAGAGAAAAGAAATATGAGATCAAGTCTAAGCAAAACTCAATATATTTTACATTTTTTTTCAAATTTTTATCTTTGCTTTTGTTTACAATTTGATTTGAACAAAAATGTATTTGATCTGTTAAAATAAAATATGCTCATTTCAAAAAGAACATAAAACTTAAAAATTATTTGAGTAATTTGAAAATATGCACTCTTGAAAGTATAAAAAATAAAAATACGTAAGAAACACATAAAAAGGTATTATTAAGAATCAAAGACAATCAGAAATGAAAAGAAGAAATAAATGATAAATAAATCCTTAGAGACCCTTTATTTTTTAGTATTCCTAAATTTAGGTCATTTAATATACAATCTAAAAAATATATGAGTTTAGTGAAGCCATAGTGGATTGGGGAAAGAAGTGATGATAATATATTAGTCATTTACATGATTATTTCCTAATACATATGAAATTTAAGTCATCAATAGTGGCGTCAAGTGCCTCAATATTAAACCAAGATTTTGCTCAAAACCCATGGAGGGATCCTTGCCCATCAATGAAATTGCATGTAAGGATAGGAATGAAGTGAATGAAATGTCATTAACTTCAAAATCTTGGTAACATATATAATAATTTAATGCTTAACCTCATAATTAATATTATTACTATTAATTTTTTTCTAACATTTAGATAGTTGAGTAGTTTGCTGACACCACAAACTTCTTCTGTAACAAAACCATTTATTAGAGACTTAAAGAAAGGGGGGGATGAATGTCAAGGTATTGAAGTTCACATATGGCATCACTGCAATATGGGATCAATACCAATGGTGGTTTCAGTTGGTTCTAAAAGGAAAATGAATAAGTCTTATAGAACTTGAGGTAGTGGATAGTGTCGTCAGCAGCAAATGAGAGAATGTATATATAATTTAACTTAAAAGCGCTTGGCATTTGAGCCTTGCTGTTTTGTTGAGGAGAGCCTATGAATCTTCTTTTGTCAATGTAGGAGTGATAGCAGTGTTGATTAAGATAGTTTAAAGAAGAAATTTAGATTAGAAGGAAAGAAGTTAATTTTGAGTAAGCTCCATGTTATTGTTTATTGTCCCTAGTAAGTCTACCCATATTATTGTTCAACCCATGTCTAAATGTGCTTATTTTCTTACACATGTATTTTGTGTCAAGAGTTATCATTAAATCCTACAAAATTATTACATAATATAACTAAGTTAATATATTAGTAAATCAAATTATCTCAGAATTATGAAAAAACTGTTATATATTTTCTATTATGACCATACTTTTTGTCATTAAACGTGCTTTCATATCCAAAGCTAAATGATGAGTTAGGTTAGCAATCTTTTCACCTTAATTTGACCTTAAGAGACTCAATCAGATTGATTAAATTGTCCTAATCAATAATTTAGCTTTAAATTATCATTTTCTAAGACCAATTAGTACAAATTGATCTAAATAGGAAGAATTGATCCATATGGGCTCAAATTGATTAAGCAAATTAAAAATGCTTTAGTTAACTTAATTCAAATCGTTTTGTTATCTTTAATTTTCCAATTAAAATGGTTTGATAGTTCTTATATAAATCTAAATGGGCAAGTCCCACTTCACAATTAGCTTAACTTATTAAATTGTTCTAATTTGTTTAACATTGATCATGGTTTTAGCTCAAGATGTTAGCGATATTGATATGTCCTAATGCATGGTTAATTTTCTTTATATTTTGCACTTGTTTATGAATGAAATCACACTTTAAGGAAATGCATTTTTGTGTTTTACTTACAAATACAATAGGTAGGTGTTGACCTCATTTTTGGTTGAGGTTTAGTTTTTCCTCTGTAGTAGCCTAAGGTCTAGCCATAGGATTTTCCTATTGACTATTCTTAGAAAACTAGACATGTAACCCTCACCATTAGAAATTCCAAACTCTTCTCTACTCAGCTTGAAGTTCCACATGTTGCTCTCAACCTCTAAATACTTAGTAGGTGGGGTCACTATGGGGGAAACTCAGGATGAGTCACCCTTAGGATTGTTGGACCTTAGGGTTGACCTTGGGTGTTGGTCT